AGCAGGACGTATATATAACCCCTTTTCACCAGCGCCGGGGTGAAGCGTGAAGCTTCCTGCTACCAAACCAGCAAAGGCTGCATCTCTGTCTCTTGGACCGTGAACTCTGCGATCTTCATGGCCATTGAGAAAAATATAGGTGTGGGGTGCCTGGGGCACCAGGCAGTGTGTCTGTGGGTCTTGCTGCCACTGCCTAAACTCGCTCTGCTTGATGCTTGGAGATAGCTGCTAGGTTCCACGGTCCCAGATCTCAGTCTCGTATCGGTAGCTGTCACCATAGCCCTTAACACTGGCTGGGACTTAAAAAATGACAGCCAACCTAAGCGTTCTTTCCCTGTGAGGAGGGCTGGGTCCTCCTCAGCTTTGTTTTGAATTTTTTTTATCACTATTTCAAGTGGGACCGTTGCCATGGGGGAGCTGGGCGAAGAAAGGATTTGCATGAAGCTCTGGGTGCTGCGGGGTTGCTAATGGCGAGCATTATTTCAGCCGGCAGTAAGTTTCATAATCTTGGCCCAGCTCCTGTGAATGTTCCGTTCCTCAGGGTCATGAGCCTCTTCCCCCTGCTCCCATCCCTTCCCCCTCTCCCCAAACTGGTTGGCAATTTCATTGTTCCAGTGGAATATATCTGTCATGTGAGGTCATCGCTGCATAAGGAGAGGTGATTGATGGCTTAGGTCGCTGGGGCCTGTCCCATGCTGGGCTTTGAATGCTGGGTTGGAGACCTTGAACTGGACTCTGTGCTCAAAGGCGAGGCGATGTGGGGCGTGGAGGGGCACGGTGATGCATTCCCAGCAGCTCGAGTCACCAAGCAAACAGACTGCTGCATTCTGAACTAGCTGGAGCGCTCGGAGAGCAGACGGCTTCATTCCTAGAGGCACAGTATCACAGCAGTCGAGCTCGAGATGTTACAAAAATACAGATAGATCATCATCTGCCAGCGGAGCCAGGCAGAATTGGGTGCACCTCTTTCCCCATCCCCGGATGGAAGGAGACTCTACCCGCTTCTCACTAACACGGCTTCTGTGTGCTTGCCTTCATCCAATTGCTCTTCAGTCAGAGCTGATCTTGGCTAAGCATCGAGAAAGCTGTGAGATTCTCAGATTTTAAGGCCAGAGGGACCATTTTGATCACCGAGCCTGACCTACAGCAGAGCACAGGCCAGAGAATTTCACCGATTTCATTTCCTGCGTCGAGCCCGTAACTTCTGACTGAACTGCAGCGTCTCTTTTAGGAATACGGCCATGGGAAGGCTTCAGGCAGTAAGGAATACACCACCTGCCTAGGTGAATTGTGCTAGTGTGTGACGCTCTTTATTAATAGTATTGTTCCTCATTTGAATTTGTCAAACTTCAGCGTTTTGTAACGGAAGGTTACAGATTGCATTTGATGTAAGGGAGTTACAGTGCGGGTATTGCCTGCACACGGCTGGCACCTCGGCTCTTTTATTCTTGTGACGGCTTTTATATTTAGATAGGATTTATCTTTGGGACCACTGTATATACAGGAGTCTTGGACAGGGAGAAGGAGTTATTGGCAGCAAATCCTAGGGCTTCCTCAGGGCACGGTAGTGTCTGAACTCTTGAGCTGAGAGTGTGACATCCAGGATTTAGTCTGTGCTCCCTGCTCAGAGCAGGAGTGCAGCAGGCTTTGCTTCCAGCCGTTAGTTAGGATGTAAATTCCCAGCGCCCTTGGTGAACTGGGATACATGCTTTTGGGCATGGCTACTGAGATCTGCACTCTCATGTCCCAGCAGCAGTGGGGCTGTGCCACGGGAGACTTACAAAGAGGGAGGAAGCACAGCTGGTTCCCTGACATTGAGGAACAGCAGCAGGATTTGTGCTTGCACCCTGCAAATGCAATGAGAGCAGCTCCTAATAGTTTAACCCCAGAGATCTCTGGTCTGGACCAGTAGTGGGGTCCACACGCAGTAGCAAAGAGTGGTGAAATTCTTACTCACAGCTTTCAAGCACAACGATTCACAAAGTGAGCTCAATGAAGTGCCCTGGGGAAATAGCTTTGTCATTCACAGTCTGTCATCTGCACATCACAGGACTGGAACACTGCGAGGAAGGCTCTGTACCTAGAGCGAAAACACACAGGTTCTTCTTTGGACCCTGGGAGTAGCCCTGTCCATTTTTGTCACAATTGGACCTGAGAAACAGATCTGAAAGCAAGAGCCATGCCATGTGGTACTGGTTCAGAAATCCGGTCTCTCTGCTCTGGCACACAAAGGCCTCTCGAATGGTGTAAGGTGCACGGATACTGGGATATATATGTCCAGGCAGAAAAAGCATTCGCATCTCCTCCTCTCTGAAGATTTACCAGTTTATTCAGCACCCACACCGGGAGCTGCACACAGAGCTGAATGAAGGGCACTTGCTACACTTCCCCTCCAGCACAGCAGGGTCTGTGCCCAGGACGCAATCCCCACTGCTGGTGACTGACTGCAGCGTGCCCCGTGTGCCCTGCTTTATCTGCTGCTTTGTCAAGGAGCCACAGGGGCACCCATGCTCTGTTTTGAACATGAGTGCTCCATGCACAATGGTGTCCAGGCCTTGCTGGCCACCTGAAACCTTCCTTTGCCCTCATGGCGTTCATGCTATGGGAGACACCTCTGTGCTCCTCCACAACCGCCCCTGGGTGTGTGCTGTGGTTTAGGGCTGGGCTGGCCACACCGTCCTAGTGCAGGACATGGTCTCAGTCTCTGGCCATGATATGATTAGCAAACTGGAATGTGTTGACTGAGACCGACTGATATTGCCTCATTTCTGGAGCTAAAAAGTACAGCGAGGTCTCCATTATAAGACAACCCAACAAGCCAGAAGAGTGCAGAGAGCTCGGTGACCCAGCACACCATGCACCTACACCCAGGCACATTTCTGCTGGTCTGTGTCAGGAGGAGCGCCAGCGGTTACATGTGCACCCCTAATGTACCATGCTTCCCCACGGGACTGGCACGGAGGTCTACCTGCACCCAGAGAAGATCTCCACTCCTGGGGTGGCACTGTCCAGATCCGCATCTCCTGCTGCCTGATGCAAAACACCACACAGCCCCTGAAGACCAGAGCTGTAACTAAGAATGTTGTGCCACAAGCAGAGCAAGGTCTTCAGCCCAGGAAACTACTGTCCCGTGGTGAGCCTCAGGCATGGCCTCAGGCACTCCATGCCACCTTGAAACCACTCAAGCGGTTTGTGTGCCCTCTAGCCCGGGGACTCACACCAGGAGGTCCCTGATGCTTGGAATTCCCTCCCTTTTCAAAGTCCGAAAGAAATCCTGTCACAGGTTTGTGTTGCCAGACATGATCTTCCACGGCATCGTGACCATAATCCAGATGGCCAAGATCTCGCCAGCCTCTGGCTTTGGAAGAAACTTGCTCCTTTCTGCTGCCTCTCTGCAGAGCTGCATTTTAATACTGAGTCCCCTCCAAGGCTTAGAGGTTCAGGAGCAAAGTACAAAGAAATGCTGAGAATAGCTGCTCTTTTCTCCTCATCTTCATCTCAGGATCCCTCCAGAGACTGATCTTGCCTCGGAGGGAAGGGCAGGGCACATTAGCCGACAATTCCTTTTTTTCTGTGAACTTTGTTTAAATATTTAACAGAAGGAAACTAAAAATATCCCCAGTTAATGCAGCAGGAGTGAAACAGCTATTCACTCTTGGGTGCCCTTCCACCCAGCCCCTCTCCTCAGGTGTATATCAGGGGTGTGAGTCCCCCTACCACAGTGAGCATGAGGCTCTTTGCTCAGCAAGAAGCCTCCCGATCAGGAGGGGCTGCAGTTTTAGTTCAGGGCTGAGCAGGAGGGGGTGGCAGTAACCCCTTGGGAGCCGGGAGGTGCAAAACAGCCGGCTCCAGGCTGGAGGTGCAGGGTTGGCCTCTGCATTGGCTCCCTCAACAAAGCATCCCCGTTTCTCCATCCCAGCAGCCACAGAAGGGCATGACCGTGGTTGTTGGCATTTGTGCTTTCCCCTTCAAGATGAAGGAGTGAGTTGAATATCCTGAATGATTGTGTGTGTGTGTGTATGTGTGTATGTGTATGTGTGTCTGTGTGTGTGTGTTTGTGTTTGTGCATGCAGTCTTTGTTGCAGAGAGGATCCCGGGTCAGGCACATTACAGCTCACCAGGGAAGGGCCGGCGCTGTGCTGTGTCCAGCAGCCAGCATGAAGGGCGGCCGTGCTACCGCCGGACCGATGCCAGATGGTGGCGTGAGGCCGGTGCAGAAATCCAGCCGGGGAAATGGGCCTTTGCTCTGTGCTACAGCTGCTGCTCGGCCATGGGAGATGGGAGAGAAAGGGGAGGAATAGGGGAGGAAGGGAAGGATGGGTCAGCACGGAGGACATTAGGACAAGGAGTGTGGGAAGGTAATTCCGTGTTAGCTAAGAGGAAAGTAAATACTAAATATTTGATAGGCATATTTTTGTTCTTAAATTCTTTAGTAAGGCTGGACTTTTCTCGCTGATTCACTCTGTCTTTCTCAGTCTTCTTGGTTTATCACTCTTGTGCTTCCCCTCTCGCTCCCTCGCTCTGGCACACAATGAAGAGGTTCTTTTTTAATAAATGGATTACACGCTCTACACTATAAATAAACACAGGAATTAAGATTCCAACTTGTTCCAGTGATAAGCAAACAAAGATGCCGAATCCCCTCCTCGGCCCTCAGACGGGCGAGTCCCTGGGGAAGCTGCGCGTGTGCCTCTGCACGTGTGCTCCAGAGACTGCTCCTGCTCCCATATGCATGTGCTGACACGCATGTTTCTGGGGGGTGCCAGGGCTGGGGGAGGTGATGCACCCCCTGTGCTGGACAGTGTGTGGGCATGGGGGTGTACGAAAGCAGGAGCCGGTGTGTGGGTGGTGCATCGGAGCTGGCTCGTGGTGGCACACACTGCTTCCAGGGAGAGAGCGGTGGCCGGTGGGTGGGGGGACACTGACACCTCTCCCATTTGGTTCCCAGTGAAGAAGATGAGACAGGATCCTCGCTGAGCAAGGACACTGTTGTATCTGAGATGGAGCCCAATGCCTGGTAAGTTCACAGCTTGCCCTGGTCACCGGGAGGACAGCAGGAGTGTGGGTGGCTCCGGCTGCTCTGTGCTTGGCCTTTTGGCAGGAGGGCCGTTTCAGATAAGGCTCTCTTCTTCCTCACCACACAGCAGGATGCCTCCACTCCTTTCCTGCGTCCACTCCCTGCAGCTTTGGCATCTCCTCCTCCTGGTCTCGGCCATCCCCTCTCCCGGCGTCTGGTCTCTTCGCTCTCGGGGTCCAGTGGCCGCTCGTCCTCTTTGTGCCCGTCGCAGCCCTTCGGCCCCGCGGCCCATTTGCATCTGGGACAGGACCTCGCTGCCGGAGAAGGATTCCCGCTTCGCCCTGAGCTGCGGCACGTTGTCCGGCTGAGGCGCCAGGCGGCAGGGGCCCGGCCCGCCACCCCCTCTGGGTTTGAGGACGGCATGCCTTCCTCCCAGTACCCCTGGGCCATCGTGTGGGGCCCCACGGTGTCGGATGAGGACGGAGGGGACACCAACTCGGCCAACCCAGGCTTCCCGCCACTGGGGTACACCTTCGTCTCACCGCACGGGATGGCGACGGCGCAGCCCAACTCTCACTCGCTTCTGCACAATGCGGGGCTCAACTTGCGTGAGACCCCGGCCACCCTGCGGCCATTCTTGTTTGGGCCCCGGGGGGAAGGTAAATCTGCCCTTTGCTTCTTTCACGCACCACTCCCCTGCCCCCATCCCAGCAGAAGCAGCTTCTGCAAAATTCATGAAGGCCACGGCAAAAACCCCCCCTTGTATTGCTGCTCTCTGACTGGTGGGTGTGGCTGTCACAGCCTCTTCTCCCCCTCTGTCTTGCAGGTGTGGACCCCCAGCTGTACGTCACCATCACCATCTCCATCATCATTGTCCTGGTCGCCACTGGGATCATATTCAAGTTCTGGTGAGTGGGGTGTGGGCCGATGGAGGCTGTCACCACACCAGTGTCTGCAGGTGGGTGGGCAGGAGGACTGTGGGCTTGGGACCCATTTGTCCCAAGGGTGCAGATCTGATGCTGGAGACCCTTGGGAGTTTTGGCACCTGGGCTCTAATGCTGATCACAGTGGGGTCCCACCAACCTCTCTGTCATCAAGGGCCAGGGCTTGTCTGAAGGGGCACTCTCGGTCTCACCCCTCATCTCTCTCCAAAGCTGGGACCGTAACCAGAAACGTCGGCGTCATTCGGGGCAGCAGAGTGGTGGGAGGCAGCAGGAGAGCCAGCAGCCCCTCACAGACCTCTCCCCCACCACCGTCAGCATCCTGGGGCCCTACAGTGACTCCCTGGCCCCCACGCCTGAGACGGAGGAGTCCAGACAGGGCCAGGAGGGCATGGAGAAACTGGGGGGCCACAGCAAGAGCACGGCCTTCCAGCTCAACCGGTGAGTGGGACGGGAGGGGGCAGTGGGGGACAGGCAGACTGAGGCAGGGCAAAGGCACCAGTCGCTTGGTGGGGGCGGAAAGGCAGCGTAAACGCCAGTTGCCAATTAATTTCTGATTTACTTTTTCCCCCACAGAATCCCACTAGTGAACCTGTGATGCTGATGGGAGAAGTAGAGCTGGCTCCCCCCATGCTCCTGTCACAACCGGCGAGCGCAGACTCCCGCTGCCTCTGCTACCCCAGGAAAAAAACACTGACCTCCTTGTGCCACGGCCCACCACCACCATTCTTAACTAAACTCCACCAGGACATGCCTGGGCAAACGGACGAGCTGGGCCTCCTAAGCCTCCTGCTGGGGGAAGGTTGGGGACAACCCCCCACACCCACCCACACAGGACAGGGTGACAAGAGAGCAGGATGGTGGAAGACAGCTGGTGGTGGTGTGAAATTTTGGCCTCCCCGGCCCCTCTCCTTGCACACACACAAACACACACATACACACACACTTGGATTTCCGTGACTCTCTCACCAGTGCATGCCTGACATCGGGGGTAGGCGAGGTGGAAAGGCGTACCCCTGTCCCTGTGGGCCCCAACCCCTCTGTGTGTCCCTTCCTATGTCGTGTGCTTTGACGTGAACGTCTGGAGTTGAGTGGCTGCAGGATTGCCTGAGCTGGGACTCAGGTGGTGGCAGGTTCTTCTGTTTCAGAGGCCTTGGCCCTCCTGAGGGTCTGAAGGGTGGGTGAAGCTTGGGCAGTAGAGGCTCACACAGCACCTGGCCCCCCTCAGCAACCCATTTCCTTGAAGGAAACATTACCTCCCCCGTAGATGGAAGATACGTCTTGCCATTTTCTTTCTGCCTAACACTTCTGTTTTCCTCTTCAGCTTTTATCTTTCTTCATCTCTCCATCCCCAATTTTTTTCTGTCAGTTCCTCCTCCTGCCAGTTATAGCTGGAAAAGATTACTTTAGCTTTCCAAATATTTTGATCTCTTGGAAGCCTCCTTGCTGTGCCCCTCCACCCCCTCAGTCTCCTTAGCAAGGTTTTTCTGAAGAACATCACTCTATGGTGATGTTCTTCGGCAAATCTGAGGTGAACCCCTCTGCACAGCATGTTATTTAGCAAGTGTCCTGTACACTGGGATACTGCCAAAGCAGCTGAAGGATGGCATGCAGATATAACTGGGCACGGGGAACTTGAGTTTTGCTGGACTGAGGTAGGGAATTGCTTTTAGACTGCAGGCAACAAGGAGCAGACGTAATTCTTGTGTGCTTGGGATGACCAAGAGCCATTCAGAGTTGACCTTGGGAGTATTTGGAGGGTTGCCATGTGCTGCTGCTCTCCTGGAGTGCAAGGTGACTTCAGACCTACAAGGCAACGCTCACCAAGGGCATGAGAGAGGGGATAGCTGGGTTGTCAACCTTTTAAGTGTATTGCCCCAGGTGGTTGGTGACCAAAACCAATGGCACAGGTATTGGTGCAAACTGGTTGCCTCAGCATGGGCTCTGGAGCTGTGGTCATCTGTAGGGCAGGCAGCCACATCATCACTTACTTGTATAAGCAAGATCAGCGCGTCTCAACCTCTTCCTATGTGTGGACCCATAGGTGTCAGTCTGAGGAATTGAGAAACGGCAAATTTCAGTTTAATGACAATAGTTGCCCTCCCTTGGCTTTTGCAGACACCTTCAAAGTAATTCACAGACTCCACATTGACAGCCATTGAGCAGAAATGATGCAGATTTAGGTTAGGTTGCCCCTATACTGTACAAACACCTCCAGCTGCTGGATTGATGTGGACAGAGACGAGAAACTCACCCACAATTTGAAGGCCCTAATGAACCATACAAGGTCTCCAACAAAAGTAATCTTGGAGAAAAGGAAATGTCCCTTTCATCCTTTATCTTTGCAGTAAAAGCCTATTCTTTATAGGACAAAGCATGGGGAGTTTCATAAGAGGCCTGGTTCTGCCCCTTTACCCAGCTGAACTATTAGGTGATCTCAGGTCCCATCTGACTCACCATGAAGGACATTTAAATGAGAGTGTAAATCGCAATAAGCTTTGCAAAAAACAGTAGAGATTTGGAGAAAATGACAGGTCAAATAAAACTACTGGCTTATTAAAAGCACAGTATGGCTGAAAGATGTAGGTGGAAAAGGACTCTGGAGGTCTCTAGTCTAAGCACAGGTTGAGTCTCTGCTTATAGCAGGGGATATTATTGCTTTACAGCAGATCGATCTATTACCAAGCTTTTTTCCTTACCCAGCTCCTATTCAAGGCTTTGGTGGACATTCAAGCTGCGGGTGGACGGGACAGAGAAGGGGGCAGGCGGCTGTTTCTGCCCTGCTCACCATGGCCCCCACCATCTGAGAGCATTTTGGGGGCTGATCCCCCTCTCGCCGACGCATCAGCCCTGGGGAAGGACATCTGCGTACAGCCTGCGAGAGGCTGGCTCTGCTTATTGCTGGCAGTTTACAATATAATGCCTCAAACTGGTTTAAGTAATCTTCCAGGCCGGATTAATTAGATTGCTCTTTGATCAATAGCGCTTGTTGAAACGAGGCCAGCGTTTAGACTCCACCAATTCAAGGGCTGTCCTTGGACTTTCCACACGCTGCGTGCAGAGAAGGTCTCTATGAACGTGGCAGGGCACCGTAGTGAAAACATTTTCCAGCATTTGCAGCAGGGAAGCCCTGCGCTCTGCTGGCCAGGCTTCTGTAAACTCTGCAAACAAGTCAGATTTCAGTGTTTTGGGTTTTTTTTCCCCTCCCTGTAACATGTCTCTGTTTCTGTTAAAAGTATCTCCAGGGAGTGAAACCTTTATTGGATGCTGTGGTAATGGGGAAGCTAGGGAATGCAGTAGGGACAACTTGTATAATGACATAAGCTTGGATATGCTGAACATCTTTTCCAAGACCAATTTTTCTAGCCAAATATGTTTTCGTGACAGTCACTTACTCTCTCACACAAAACAGGTTAGGTATGGGAAAAAACTTCACTGTCCTGCCCAAACTTTCATTGCTACATTTTGTCCCTGGAACAAAACATTCAAAACATGTGTGGACAGACAAGCTTCTTCCTGTCAATAAATAATCTCCCTGGATTGGTTTCCTCCATGGCTGAGGCCTTATAAGCCACCTTCCCCTATGCAGACTGGGCCCAGAGCGTGCCTGCAGTGTCTTCCCTGGCCCAAGCTGATATTCTGAGAGATGCACACACGGACAGGTTGACAGCCCAAGCACCGAGCCAGGGCAGAGGCCAGCCCCTTCTCAGTCACAGCCCATCAGGTTTCCCTGTCTTCTAGCTGACTGGAGGAGAAAGATATGGATTAATTTAATTTTTTTTCAGTGGAAATTTTACAGAAAGAGATAGAGAGAGGTGTGCGGGGAAACTGATTGAAAATGTTCACAGCCTTGGGCTGAGCCTGCCCAACTTTTCTGTGCAATTAAAAGGAAAGGTCCGGGTGGTCTGGGTGAGTTGAAGCAACTGTGTCTCTACTGAGCTCCTGGAGGGTCCTGGCTTTGTTAACACAAGGGTGGTCTCTCTGTGGGAAGGAGGGCAGGTCTGGGGGAGAATCTCTCACCTCTGCTGTGTATTGTTTTGGAGCAGGAACTGGAGTCTCCCTCTGTTTACCCAGCAGAGGGACATGACCACAAGGCCAAATCCTGCCTGGGCTTTCCCAGCTGGTTGGTTGCAATTGGTGGGCAGGGGAGCAAACCTCCGGTGTGTGCTTCCACACCACTCCTCCGGTCCGATTTCCAGAGCCTCGCATCCAGCCAAGCACCCCACAGCTGCAGAGAGGGATATCTACCTCCTCCTCAACGGCACCTAAGTGCCCTTGCAAATCTGGTCCCTTCATCCCCCACTCCCTTTCTCAATAAGGAAAAACGCTTGGAAAGGAGCGGTTTGTTCATTCCCCACCAGTTCTCAAACACGATCACCTTCAGACTGTTCTGAATTAAACTATGGTTTTGGTTTTTTTCGCTCCGACGAGCCACGTCTATGGCACAGCCTTAGAGCCGAGTCCCACAGCACAAAAGTCCTGGGCCAAACTCCAGCTCCCCAGTTGCACCCCCGCTGATGTCTCACTGTAGTCCTGGCCCTACCTTGGCAAGATCATAGAGGGGAGCCCCCTGCCTTCACCAACTGCCAGCTCTCTACTCCTTTTTTCCTGTTGTTCTCCCTCTCCCACTGTTTTTACTGCTTCCCACTCCTGTCCTGTACCATGGTCTCCCTTCCAGTTATCTCTCCCCTCCTGCTGTTTCGCTTTCCCCACTCCTCTCTTGTTCTGCCTTTGCCATTTGGTCTCGTTCTTCCGCGGCTCCCATCCTTCCCTCCGTCTCCCCTCCAGCTTCTCTGCTCAGTCTCGCTCTTCCTCCTCCCCTGCCCTTGTGCGCTGTGATATATATTTTTGTAGGATTTCTCTTCTCCTCGTGGTGATATATTCAAATCTTGTGGGATGTTAGTTTCAACATTTTTAAATAAACCTTTGCAAAATACTGAAAGCAGAGCTCTTGCTGCTGTGGAAGAGGCTGTAACGGAGATGTCGGGGTGGGATGAGAGGGACCTCACCCTGGGCAGGCCCCAGTGGGACGGAGGCTGAGACATCCCACAGACTCCTCTGGAGGCAGATGGATGGGGTGATTTGACTCTGCATCCATCTTGCCTTGGTCTCCTCACTGGCCAAAGTGGTCCTTTGACTCTCCTCACGCCTTTACACAGGAGGTGGCCCCTGATGGAGAAGGCTGCTGAGGCCTTGCACACCCACTTCTCTGCCTGGAGCAGCTGGTTTGTCTCCGGAGCTGCTGCCTCCCAGGCACACTTTGGGGCTGCTTGTCATACACACTGGTCCATGCTGGGAGCCAGGGTGGCCAAGAGAGGGGAGAGAAGCTGAGAGGAAGAGAGTGAGACAGAACGATGCAGGCGCAGAAGCCTCCCTCGCGCTGTTCCCTGCGGCTGCCTCCGCAATTTCTATTTACAGCCCTGCTGCCTCCCCTCCTGGCCACAGTGCCGCTGCCGTTGCTGGTTTCCAGGGCTGCTCTGTAATTAAGCATCCTCGTCTCCTGCAACTCCCCCTATTTTTGCAAGCCCTGGTGACCATCGGTGCTGGGGCGGGCATGGAGCCGGTACTGGAGACCAGCATCAGACACAGAGGCCACTC